AGTAGATAGACGGTCCACTTTCGGTTATTGTACCTTCTTGGGAGGAAACTTAGTCACTTGGAGGAGTAAGAAGCAAAATGTAGTGGCTCGGTCAAGTGCAAAGGCAGAATTCAGGGCTATGGCACAAGGAGCGTGTGAATTCCTCTGGTTGAAGATAATTTTAGAAGACCTGAAGATTCCACGAGAAGAGCCAATGAAACTATATTGTGATAACAAGTCAGCCATCAATATTACTCACAATCCTGTTCAACATGACAGGACGAAGCACATCGAAATTGACTAACACTTTATAAAAGAGAAACTGGATAGCAAGTTGATTTGCACTCCCTATGTGTCTACAAAAGGACAACTGGCCGATGTACTTACTAAAGGGCTCAATAGTACAKACTTTYGAAGAATTATAGCCAAGCTGGGAATGGAGGATCTCTATTCACCAGCTTGAGGGGGGGAGTGTTGGAAAACGTGGGGTTACTGGTGCAGATCTATATTTGGTAGTTGTGTAAAAATAGAATTGTATATATTCCTAGGATTGTGGAAGGATTGATTTAGAAAGTTTTTTCTTTCTATTTCTTTCTTTCTATTTTCTTTTCTTTCTATTTTTGTACTTTCTATCTTCTTTTCTTTCTATTTTTTTCTTCTTTCTATTTATTGCAGCAGCTTACTGTATAAATATGCCGATTGGCAATAGAATGAAACACATCATTATTCTACCATTCCAAAACAATTCCCTTAATTATATCTCTGCTAGGGACAGAGAAAACCTTTTGATTCTGATTCAGAAGTACCAATGAATAAAGACTAAACTAAGTATCATTTTTCTACAGAATTTTCCTTTGAAAATTCTGGTATATATTCCCTCTTTGTATGAGAGAAAACCAGCATATAAAGAAACAAACATTGTATGCATAACAAGTAAATAGGCATCATAAAAAGCATGTTTCATCAATAAGGCTACAAATGGCCTTTAAATTGTGGTAGTGTGCATTATCATGCTGGGAGGAACCATAATCAGCTAAGTTTCATGAACAAGGCTGTAGATGGTTTTTCCCCTCACACATAAGTTAAGAGGTTGTAAGGAACCATAATCAGCCAAGTTTCATGAACAAGGCTGTAGATGGTTGTCTCCTTACATGTATTTCAATATGAAACATGGAAGAAAAGAAAAATAAAAGGAAGAAAGAAAGGAGTGAGAGGAATTAATAGAATATGGGCTTCCATCTCATGTGAGAAGCACAAGGAGTATCATATTTAAGAGGTGTAGAAAGAAAACAAGATTCCCTACCTTCTTCTTCCCTTTTTATGCTCTCCACACCAATCTTCTTCTCTTTTCTCTTCCCACTTGTTTCTTAATGCTGGAAATCCTGTAGATAAATTAGTAATAGCCAACAAAAAGGCATTAGCCCCTTCTCCTTGTAGGAGAGGGGTTTATATAGAGGAGGGAGGTGGTTAAGTAACTCCCCACTCCTCTCTTCTTAGAGTGCCAAGTGTCACTCCACTTAAAATGGGTTAAGGAGGGAAAATAAAACTCTTCCTTCCTAAGGTGACAAGTGTCCCCCCACTTAAAGTGATTAGAGGAGGGAAAATAATTCTCTCTCCCTTAGGGTGACATGTGTCCCCCCACTTCAAGTGGTTAAAGGAGGGAAAATAAATCATTCTCCCTAGGGTGACATGTGTCCCCCCACCTCAAGTGGTTAAAGGAGGGAAAATAAATCCTTCTCCCTAGGGTGACATGTGTCCCCTCACTTAAAGTGGTTAGAGGAGGGAAAATAACTCTCTCCCCTAGGGTGACATGTGTCCCCCCACTTCAAGTGGTTAGAGAAGGGAAAATAACTCTCTCCCCTAGGGTGACATGTGTCCCCCCACTTCAAGTGGTTAAAGGAGGGAAAATGGTCCTCTTGTTAGAATAGGATAAGTGGCATCCCCTCATAAACAAGTGGGACACCTCACAATTAATTAATCAAAATGGGTTTATTCTTTTAGGGCCTGCTGTTTCATTAAATGGGTTCTACTGCAGGCCCATTAAATGCTTATTGCATTACAAATCAGCCCACCAAAAAGACTGATTGGGCTTATAAGAAAGCCCTTTTTTTCTTCTTTATTATTATTTTTTTAAGCTGTGACTGGGAGTATCTTAACATCCTGCTCCCAGTCCAGCAAACTTAAGGACTTAACAACCAGCTTCTGGATTTATCAAATTGAACTTTGATGGAAGCAGTGAAAGTAACCTGGGGCCTTTCGGTATTGGAGGAGCCTTCAGAGATGAGAAGGGAAAGTTATTACTTTATTGTTGTAGTATGTAATTTAATAGCTTTCTATGGTCTGATCTATTACCATTCAATATTTTGTAAAAACATAGTTCCTAATATTATAAGGTGTTTTGAGGACTCCATGAATAGCTAACATGCTCTAAGCTAGGATATCTTTTCAAATCTCACTAATAAAATTGGTTGGAATGATAATCTTATGGTTTTAGGCCTGATTTTTCTGTATGAAGCATTCCTCACTTTCTGTGTCCACTAAAGCTTATGCTTAAAACAAAATATATGATCAAATATGTGTGTGAGTGCATTTATCCCTACATACATTTTTATGAATGCATTGTGTCAAACATGGTATTCCAGTCAACGCATGGCTATTATTAGCCTGGCCAAGTTCTAGAATCCAAGGTTCAAAGTATCGTTATGTATCGGCCCGTATCGGCCAATATGTATCATTCCGGGACCCTTCCGATACGCCCATACAGTGGGTGTATCGAGGGTCTGACCGGTTCAGGGGATGGAGGGGTCCTAGACCGGCTCCCCTAAACCAGTTTTGAAAAAAAATAATAAAAAAAAGGTAAAAAAACGAATATCGAAACGCTCGATACGCCCCTACCGGCGTATCGGGCAGTAGTGGTGTGCATGGGTTCTTCAGTCAAATGCTCTTTAAAAATATCCTTGGCCTACTATAGCCTGTTGTTTTTCCAGTCCCCTCATTGTTGTATTCTCAAATAGGGGTTTGGAGAAGATAATATAATATTCAATGAATGGGTCTGAGTCGTCTGACAGATATCCTTTGGAGCTCATCATGTTCATTTATTTTATTAGTTTCTTCTTTGTTTAGATAAATCAGGTTTATCTTGTCAAGTTGTGTTAAAAATTGTTAAAGATGAACACTATTGCTAATTTTGAAAGTTATTTATGCTTAATTTCCTATTTTAGTTAGAAATCTAAACTAAAAATTCCAGATTTTTTTTATGAATAACTATATTTTCTTTCGATAATGACAAAAAAATCAGTATATACTATTCTTAATCCAAATTTGGATTCAAGTAACCGATTAATTAACAGTATTGCGATTTATCCTCTTCCTAATTTTGCTAGGGAAATATATATCCTCAAAGTGGTCAAAGTTTTAGGACATTGGCATGCTGTTATTGTTCTTGTTCCTACTTTTGATAGTGAATTAAATATTCAAAATGGTCTGATCTCTGTCAGGGCTCACCAATTAGTCAGTCTACTCCTAACATTGGAGTTACTGTCACAAATTGTTATTGTTAACTGTGTAGGCCATTGGTAATCTGGGTTCCTCAGGCATTGGGGGGATGATTAGGGATGAGAGTTGTGCTATCTGTGCCTTGTTTTCTGGACCAATTGAGCAAGGTGATTCGGTAAGAGCAGAACTCCTAGCAGCAGTTTTTGGGGTTGAGAAAGCAAAGAATTGGGAGTTGGTAGTTTGATCATTGAAGGTGATTCAAAGATAGTAGTGGGATGGCTGAAAAAAGGTGAGGGAGTGATTTGGCAGCTTAGAAATGAGTTTAGGATTTTCAAATGGCTTTCAAAAGATATGAATGTTCAAATAAGATGGGTTAGAAGCTGGCTGCAAAAGGAAGAGGATGTTGGGTGGTGGAGCTACATTTATGAGAAGAGGAGAATTAGGTGGCTATTACAAGGAATGGAGGTATCTTTTCAGTGGGTAAAGAAAGGCTAATTCCTCTGCTGATGCATTGGGCAAACAAGGGGTGGGAAGGAATCAATTGTTTTGGGCTTTGTTGTAACCTTGCTTCTTTTATGGGAGAGCTATGAGAGTTTATCTCTCCCTTCTTTGCACCTTTGTATCTTTATCTTTAATTTAATGAATCTCTTCCAGTTATTGATCAAAAAAAAAAAAAAAAAGATGGGTTAGAAGATCTGCCAACAGTTTAGCTAAGCAAGGGGTTCAAATACAACATATATGTTGGGCACAAATGTAATATAGTTGGGGGCTAATCCTGTAATGGGTTTGCTAGTTTCTCACAACTTCTTGTTGTACTCTGTTCTTTTTAATCTTTAATGAATTTCTAATTTTCATGTTGCTGATAAAAAAAAAACTGTGTGGGCTATTGGCTGGTGTAATTGTAAAATTTGGGGCTGACAAGTGTGAGAATGCAGGTTCAAGTCTGAGAGCAACCGTTTTGTGCAAAAATATAATAAAGCCAAAGGTAAGGTTCATTGTTCCCAAGATCCCAGATAGCTGGAACCGATGTTGGGTAATGGCCCTTTTTTTCTATTCAGTTGGAAGAACCCCAATAGATTTTGAATCTACTTTGCCTATCATAAATTCTATAGGTGTTGAAATGAAAGCTATGAACTGTTTATTCAACTAATTCTTTGTTCAATGTATTATCTTCTAAGATATACAGTAAAGGACCTATATAATTGTATAACCCCGTTATTATTTGTTTCAGGTTAACTGGGATGAGCCTGAAGTTTTGCAGAATGTCAATAGAGTAAGTCCCTGGCAAGTTGAATTGGCTGCAGCCACACCACCTCTTCAAACCCCTTTCCCCCCAACAAAGAAATTCAAGGTTCCTCAGAATCCTGACTTGCTGACTGGAGAGGGACCCCTATTTTTTCCTATGACAGGATTATCCAATTCAATGATGGGGCACTTGAACTTGACCCCATCATTGTTTAATTATAACACTTTTCCTGCTGGCATGCAGGGAGCCAGGCATGATCCAATCTGTGTATCCAGTTTATCCAATTTTGTATCTAAAAATATGGGTGACATGTATTCTAATAATATTTATGGCAACAAAACTACACCGAAGTCAAGTTGTGTGTCCACTGAATTGAGTATTGGTAGTTCATCACACTCAGACAACTCGTCACCACATAGCCAAGGCAGTGTGCATTTCTTTGGCACAGAAACTTCTGGCCATCATAACTGCAACATGACAGCAAAAGCTAGTGTTACTTCGTTCCAGCTGTTTGGTAAGACTATCCAGACAAAACAGACTGCAAAGAGTGGGTTTGATGATGGTGGATGCATGGAAGATGAAGTTATTAAGGAGTACAAAGAGGCAGATGGTGTGAGCAAACCACTTCATTCGTCATCTTATCCATATGAAGGGATGTATAATGGGCTTGATGTTCAATGCCAGAGAGTATCAGCTGTGGAGGCATGTTCCTTGTGATGGAAAGGTAGTTCCATTGGTGCCATGCAGATGGAAGCTGTACAGGTACGCATTGAATCTGTTTAGCTTATATGTGGTAAAAAAGCTTTAGATTTGTTTGAAAATTGCATAACTAAATAACTTTTTCTTAGTTTGCTTATGAGTTTTGAAGAGCAGTTATGGTTCTTGTGGGGTGGTTTTGAAAATACCTTGTGCCAAATATAAGATTGTTAAAATGTGTGATTGCATTGCTTTCTATTTGCGAGTAAGATTCTATTAGAATCCAATCTGCCTTTGAATTCTGTTAGAATAGTGACAGTAGAAATAAGAGAGAGGAGAAGAGGAAGAAGAAGAAGAAGAAGAGAAGAGAATAAAGAGGGAGAAAAGTTTGGTTTGAACAATAACATAATTAATCTTGTACATTCATAAAAAAAAAGTCTGGTTCGAACAAGAGAGAAAATCAATCTCTCTCTGGTCGGCCAGATCTGTTTGTATATTTCTATTAATCAAAAAAGGACACCTTTGCCCCTACTCAAGTGAGGGACACAAGTACTAACATAACTTTACACATCAGCAACTTAAACATAAGCATAAAGACTAAAATACCCCTACACTGTTGACATTAACACTCCCCCTCAAGCTGGTGAGTATATATCATAAAGTCCCAACTTGTTACATATGTAGTCCACTCTTCCCCGACTTAACCCTTCGGTAAACAAATCTGTCCATTGGTTTCCTGTGTTAGCATATGCAGTATCTATCACTCCACTCAGCACCTTTTCTCTCACAAAGTGATAGTCAACCTCTATATGCTTAATTCTCTCATGAAACACTGGATTAGAAGAGATATGGACTGCAGCCTGATTGTCACAGTAGAGCTTCATTGGAGTGTCAATAGTGTATCCCATCTCCTGTAGAAGGTTCCTTAGCCACACTAATTCACAAGTAGTATGTGCCATAGCTCTATATTATGCCTCTGCACTGCTTCTTGCAACAACTATTTGTTTCTTGCTTTTCCATGTCACCAAATTACCCCCAAGAAAAGTACAATAGCCTGTAGTGGATCTCCTATCAGATATAGAACCAGCCAATCAGCATCAGTATATCCCTCTATTTCAAGTTTTCCTCCACTTCTACATATCAAGCCACGCCCAAGAGCCCCCTTTAAATACCTCACAATCCTTAGAACTGCATCCCAATGTGGAACCCGAGGTTTCTGCATGAACTGACTTACCACACTAACCTCAAATGAAATATCTGGCCGAGTAATGGTTAGGTAGTTTAGTTTACCTACTAGCTGTCGGTACTTGCCAGGGTCTTCAAACTTTTCAACCATATCAATGCTCAGGTTAGTATTTGCTTCCATAGGTGTTTCAGCTGGTTTAACACCTAACAATCCTGTTTCTTCCAACAAATTAAGAACATATTTCCTTTGACACAAGTTAATACCATGCTTAGACCTTGCTACTTCTATCCTCAAGAAATACTATAGCTTACCAAAGTATCATTCCCGGTAATAACAATATCACCTACATATACCACCAATAGGATCTTTCCAGCTTAAGAGTCATGACTGAAGACTGAGTGGTCAACCTGGCATTGTTTCATACCAAACTTCTTTACCACTTCACTGAACCTACCAAACCATGCACGAGGAGACTGTTTAAATCCATAAATGGCCTTCTTTAGTTGGCACACCTTACCATCCTCCTCTTGAGCAACAAACCCCGGTGGTTGCTCCATATAGACCTCCTCAAGTAGATCACCATGTAAGAAAGCATTCTTGATATCAAGCTGAAAGAGAGGCCAATCATACATAGTAGCTAGGGATATTACAACACGAACTGAACCAATCTTAGCAATCGGGGAGAAGGTCTCCGTGTAGTCAATACCATATGTTTGGGAGTACCCTTTGGCAACTAGTCTAGCTTTCAACCGCTCTACACTACCATTAGGTAAGTACTTAACAGTGTATACCCATTTACAACCGACAACCTGCTTACCAGAAGGAAGTGTGGTGAGGTCCCATGTATGATTATGAGTTAGAGCTGAGAGTTCTTCTTCCATTGCACGGTGCCACCCTGGAGAGGCAAGAGCTTCCTGGACATCCATAGGGACAACAACAGAGGATAACAAGGAGATAAACTGGTGATAGGAAGTAGAAAGGTGAGCGAGAGAAACATAATTAGAAATAGGATGAAGGGTACAACTGTGTTTACCTTTCCGCAAGGCAATGGGAAGATCAATTTCAAACACTAAGGTTGGGGCTGGTGTGGGAACAATTGCCAGATTTGTTGATGACGATGGAGCTGGAGGAGCCGGTACATGTTGGCAATGTGTATACACTTGACGACTAGGTGGCTGTTCAACAGGTGGTGGCACCAGAGGCAAAGACTTGGTCACAACTGGAACAAGTGGAACGGGATCCGCAACTGAAAGTGGAAGAGGAGGAGGTGGTGAGGAAGAAGAAACATCACCTGACCCCGAGAAAAACGGAGTGGACTCAGAAAAAGTAACATCAGCACACATAAAGGAACGTTGAGAACAAGGATTATAACACTTATACCCTTTTTGGGTCTGGGAATAGCCAAGGGAAATGCACTTAATGGATCATGCATCTAACTTGTCTCTTCCCGGTCCCAGATTATGAACAAAACAGACACACACAAAAACCCGAGGAGAAAGGGGAAACAAAGACAAGGTAAGAAACAAAGTGGTGAAGGAAGAATGACCATCAAGGATAAACGTGGGCATCCGGTTAATTAGGAAGCAAGAAGTAAGCACAACATCACTCCAAAAAGGTTTGGGTACATTCATATGGTGCATGAGGGATCAAGCAGTTTCCAAAAGATGGCGATTCTTTCTCTCAGCCACCCTATTTTGTCGTGGGGTGTAGGTACATGAAGTTTGATGGATAATGCCATGTTATTCCAAATATTCTTGAAATGATGTAGAAAAATATTCACGGCCATTATCGGAACGAAAAATTTTAATGTGGACACCAAATTGGTTGCGAATTTCAGCATAAAATTTTTGGGAAATGGTAAACAATTCACTCATTTCTTTCATTAAATAAAGCCACGCCATCCTTGAATAATCATCAACAAAAATAACAAAGTATTTATACCCATTGTATGACATTACTTTATAAGGACTCGACATACGTTTATCAACCCTAGGACTAAAGGGAACACGATGATGTTTCCCCAACTGACATGACTCACAATCCAAAACAGAAAGATGACTCAACAAAGGAACAAGAGACTTCAAAACTTTCAGTGACGGATGACCAAATCAATAATGTCACTAGAGAGGAGAAAGGGATGTCTGGAGAACTGTTGACTTACCACCATCAAGGTAATACAGTCCACCAGCTTCATGCCCTCCACCAATCTTCATCCCTGTCTTGAGATCCTGAAACACACGAATAAGGGTAAAAAGTGATAGAGCAATTAAGAGACTTGGTCAACTTACTAACAAACATAAGGTTAAAAGGAAATTTGGGGACATACAAAACTGAAGATAAAGGTAAAGGGTCCAGGTTAACATTACCAATACCACAAATGGAGGATGTGGAACCATTAGCAAGGGTAACAGATTGTGATGTTGGGTAGTAAGAGAGGGAAGAAAACACACCTGGAGTTTCAGTCATGTGATCGAATGCTCCAGAGTCAATAATCCAGGGATTGGGTGTGGATGCCAGACAAGCCATACCTGAGTGTGCAAGAGTGGTTGTGTTTTGTTGAGATGTGGCCTGGACAAACTTTTCATACTCATCACGGGGAATGCTCATCATCTCCTTCCCGGGAACATCTGTGGATGTAGGGGGCATTTGATCAGCTGAATAGCTCTCTTGTTTGAAGCTGCTATCACTGTTCATGGCATGATTGGCCCAAGTTGAAGGTGGACCATGCAAATCATAGCAATAATTAATGGTATGTCCATCCATACTAGTGTGTATATCTTCTTGGATCTGAACTACGTCCTATGCCGCAGACTCCCCCTGAATCTTGACCTCTAGTACGACCACCACCATGGTTATACATAGGTCCACCACCACCACTACGGCCATATACCGATCCACTGCTACCACTACGACCAGATTGAGCTCCCCGAGCTCCATCTCTAATATCACGGCCCCTTGATACTGCAAAGGCTGATATATCGAAAACACTAGAGTTCTCGATAGATCCAATAGAAATCCTTCTAAGTCGAGCAAACACCTCTTCTAAGGAAGGGAGAGCTGATCCTCCTAGTATTTGTGCTCGTACTGGTTCATATTCAGACTTCAGCCCCACCAAAAATCGGGTCACAACTAGTTGTTCTCTCTGCTGTTGCTGAATTTTAACATCAGAGTGAGGGGGTGGTACACATTCAACTCATTACGAATGTTTCTCATACTAGCATAGTATTCCTCAAGACTCTGATTACCCTGTTGCAAATTAAAGTATTCCTGATACAACTGATATACTCTAGTTGTATTGTCTTGACCCGAATACAGCTTCTTAGCATGGTCCCACACTTCCTTGGCAGTATCAAGAAACATGAAATTCATGCTAATCTTGGGTTCCATGCTGTTCCATAACCATGTAATAATCTGTGCATCTTCTTGTTCCCAGTCATCATACTCATGAGAGTCAGTAGAGGGTTTTTCCTCCCTTGTGTGTTTCACTTTCTTCTTTGTTTTAAGAAAGACTTCTACAGATTTTGCCCAAGGTACATACTTTTCTCCATTCAACTTAATAGAGGTAATCTGAACATTCAGGTAGTCAGTAGGAACCATCACACTAGTTTTACTGTCACTATTGTCTCCTATTGCTGAATTCTGTTATTGTTGAATTCTGCACACTGCACACTAAACCACATTGCACACTGAACCACACTGTTCTCAGCACCTGTTATTGCTGAATACTGCACTCTCTACACCACAACCCTACCACATGACTACCTAAAAACTCACCACACTGTTCGAAGTTCACTCCCCCTTCAAATCACACTGAAATTTGCATAAATCCTAACACCTTACAACCTGAATTTCCACCTTACGATCCGGAACATACTCATCATTTGATTCACAATAAAAAACTGCATAAAAACCACTTACCTAATCACCAGAAAATCAGACTATACTCGACACCCACTGCATCACTTGAATCAACCCTTTTCTCTTCATCTATTAGGGGATGGCTTCCTACAAACCACAGCAACCACCCACAAACTGCACGACTGGAGGCATAGAAACCTCCAAGGGAAGAGGGCGACCATTCCTTTTCAGCCCCTTCCCTTATCCCCAACCGATGGCGAAGAGAAAAGGAGAAAACCCTAGACTGGGTGCATGAAGATCAGAATTCTGGGCAGATTCGATTTGCTCAACCTAGCTCTGATACCATATTAGAATCCAATCTGCCTTTGAATTCTGTTAGAATAGTGACAGTAGAAATAAGAGAAAGAGGAGGAGGAAGAAGAAGAAAAGAAGAGAATAAAGAGGGAGAAAAGTCTGGTTCGAACAAGAGAGAAAATCAATCTCTCTCTGGTCGGCCAGATCTATTTGTATATTTCTATTAATCAAAAAGACACCTTTGCCCCTAATGAAGTGAGGGACACAAGTACTAACATAACTTTACACATCAGCAACTTAAACATAAGCATAAAGACTAAAATACCCCTACACAGTCGACATTAACAGATTCCATCGACCAACCATCATGATTTCCCTCTTTCTCTCTCTAGGAAAAGGTTTACCACTCAGGTCAAGTAGGGACCTTTCCTTGATTTCTGCTATGTAGAAGGTTCCTATGGCTGATCCAGACTGTCCATCATATAGGTAACCCAGTGGATAGGTCATACATTCAACCCCAAAGTTCACATAAGTCATGTGCTTTTATCTTGTATTGCTGATTTTCACAATTAATATTGTGCATTCAAAGTTTTAAATTATTAATATTTGTTCACACAAAAAGAATTTAATATATAACTTACATATAAAAGCAGGATTATTTTACATGTTGCAAGGTCTTTTGGCTATTTCTGTTCATGAATGTCATGTATGAGGTTCCATGTTTGTTTAAGGAAACTCCATAAATGACTCAACCAACAAATGTATGTATATGGAATAAGATTTTGTCATCAAGTCAAGTAGGAAGCTTCCCTACATGAACCCACCTATATCTGCCATGTAGAGGGATTCTTGCTTATCCAAATCATTCATCAGATAGAGGACACGCTAGATTTTCACATGCTCAATCCTATGGTGCATATTAACCATATTCCCCACCTTGTATTGGTGATTTTGACAACTATCATTCATAGTTACAAATTTTACATATAAGATTTACCTATGGAAGAAATTCTATCTAGTAAACATGGCAAGGTCATTTGGCCAAAATATTTTCCATGAATATGGGGTGGGGAGAGGAATTTCGGGACTTCTTTTTCATGGGGAGATGTTCCCAATGTATAGCTGTAGTGTCCTGTGGGTAGGTGTGGGTAGGAGATCTGGATTCCTTCTTTCTTTTGAGCTCCAAACTAATTTGCCACGTCAAAGATTTTTAGGCATGATTTATTATTTTCTTTTTTTCTTTGTGGGGTGGGGATTTCTGCCTAGGGAATTATTCACATACCATTATAGTATTGCTAAAGGAATAATGACTAGTGCCACAATATGATATTACAAATAATTTGATCTGATAGTTAAATAGAAACAGCTAATCACTTTGATTGTGTGCTCTCATCTTTGCTTACTCATACCTCACTTTGATTTTGATCTTTATGACATATTTGTGTGTTGGCCTAATAATTTTATGCTTTTTTACTTTGCTAATTTGGCTGGAATTAGTACATAGCTTGATTTATCCACACAAACATGGGCATCACTTAGGACTAGTTGATGTATCTGTAATTATGTAATCCTGCTCATATGGTTTACTCTGTTCCTATTTGAAATGGAAGAAACAAAAGCATCGGGTTTAGTCCTCTGTTGCTGGGTCTGTGGTTTATCCTGAGAAAACCATACAACTGCCATGCTTCCTTTAACTAGGGGTGGCAATTGGGCAGGTTTGGGTTGAGCTTCAACCCAAACCATCTAACTCATTAACATTAAATTAAATGGATTGGGTTCAACCCAAACCCACTTTGATCCAATCCAACCCACTCAACCCGTTAAATCTATTATTCATTAAATGTGACCTATATAACTTGTAGAAAAATACATAAATTATAAAAACATAGAAAATTTGGGAAAATAGTATAAATTATATGAAAATATAAAAAATACAGAAAACAATAGAAATTGCACAAAATTATAAAAAAACAGAAAATGTAGAAAACTAACAAAAATTGCAAAGAACAAAGAAAAACTAGAAATTACAAAAAAAAATTGCTCAACAATATAACAAAAATTATAGAAAAACATTGTTAAGAGTGTGAGGGCATTTCTGTCATTTTGTGTTTTTTTGTATTTGGGTGCTTATTCAAGGGCACCTTTGTAATCTTGCTTATGAAGAAGAAATGAAAAGTTTCTTGGTGTGAACAGTGCCACACCAAACATTCTCGACACTTTCTTTCTCCTTTTCCTTCTCCTTCTTCTTCAACATCTCTAAACTTTACAACTAACATAAAATGAACAAAAATAACAGAAATTGCAGAAAAATTACAAAAAACATAAAAATGCAGAAAAATAACAAATGCTACACAATAATATAACAAAATTTATAGAAAGATGTAGAAAATGAAGAAAAAATATTAGACCATGAAATTTCATCTTCTGTGTCGCTCCATCCTTTTAATTAAAAACCAGATGCTCCACCGCTCTTAATTTCTATTCCACTGCAACTATCTCATTTCCTCGGTCTTACCTAAATAGAAAAGATGGATTTGGTTTTTTGGAAAAATCACTATAGAGATACCAAAACTTGAAGTTCTCTGATCTTTCTCTGAGTATGAAATTCAGAAGTACTCTTACTCTGTGGTCACAGAAGGGATTTACAACCTGTTGGAATTTCAAAGGAACCCTAACGGTGGCTTCTCCATTTTAGCCAACTACATTGGCACTCTTTGCAAACCACACAACGAATACCCAAAGCTCAGAAACCACTTCATTTTTTCAGTTCATATGTCTGCATTTTTTCAGTTCAATCTAAATCTGAAATAATGTTTATTTGGTTCACATACAATCACATCTGAAATTTAATTTACGTTTCTGTGGAGAACTCAAAAGTAAAGAGAAGGAAGAAAATTGTGAACCACGAAGCAGAGAAAGGGAGAAGTTAAAATATCAAAAGCTAATGCCTAATGGGTTATCCGTTGGAAAACCATGACCCAGCCCACCCAAACCTTTAAATGTTTTCTTATTGGGTTACCCAACCCATAGTGACCCAGGACTAAATGGTTACAACCCAACCTGTCAATTACTGGGTGGGTCGGCGGGTTGGGTTGATAAATTGCCACCCCTATCCTTAACAACCATCTGATTTCCATCATATCCATGTTGGACTGTTGGTATATGGTACATCAGCAGGTGGGAGTCAGCGTATAGGCATAGGCTGGTACTATGTTGCTAGGCATTGTAACTGGATTTCAATTATCATATTGGAAAATCTGAGCTCTAGCCATTTCTATGTGAAAATATGGAATATAAAGATTTTACTGGCAGGGCTGAAACGAAATGGATCTTTAAAATGATTTGGAAGCACGACCCACATCCATCAAAAAAGAAGCCTTAGATATTTTGATTATTGAAATTGTAGCATTTTTGTTCATGGGAAAGGACAGCTCATTCATCTTTCCAATAGGTATAAGATTTCATTTTTTTTTACTTGTCTTCTTTTTTAATCACCAGTTTGTATAATGTCTCTGATCACTCCTATTGTTTGCAGGTGTTTCTAGGAAAGGGAGGAACTGACTCGTTATCTGACTCTTGCAGCAATAATTTGACAGTGTTGGATTGGTTTAGTTTTGAAGCTAGAACATTTTAGTCTGACAATGTGGCTGTATGAACCACCGTAGTTTCTTTTTTTTTTTCTGATGTCCAAACCAATTAATTTACAATTGACAGAAACTTGACATTTTAATTTGTCGTGCTTGAGTATGCGAGTCATTCTGTATGAGTTGATGGATGCTTTCTTCTATTGAGCAACTTTGTATGTTCACAAGTTTGAACTATTATTGCCTACGAGACTGACCTACATTCCATTTGCATTAATACTATTATCATGTGATGCTACTCTATGTGGTTGGATTTTCCTTGTTGGTAACATGACGTGTTTGGTATTTATTAGAGCAGGTTGTGTTTAAAGATCGGTTGATCAATCTTTGTGTTTTTGATTTGCGAAGCGGGTTATTTGGCATTTTCTTTTGTAGTTTGAACTCTAGCTTATTATGATTGTACATTTGCAAGAATTCAAGATAGGTCCAATCAGCGCTTATTGGCTCTGCGTGTGCAATGAGAAAACAAGTGGAGAACAGCTTGATTAGCTTCTACCAGACTCTTGAATCTTGATTTCATGATATGATGATGCACTGTTCAAGGTATTTTCACTTCAGTATATACTAATATATTTACCTACATATATCTGGTAGGATGACATTCTTTTACAACTCCAATTTTATTATCGACTTAGGAGTTGGAGAAGCTTTTTTAAGTCGAGATTTCAGACGGCAGGTGCTACAGAGTGAGTGTGCCCGATCTACAATGCAAAAGCACTTGGGGTTTTTCTTCTCACGATGGGATTCAGTTCCACACGAAAGGAAAAAAGCTGCATTCTGCAGGTGCGTCCATCATCTCTTTAGCCTTTTACAAACATCTTCTCGTGAAATGCGACCTTATGCTTATGGCCCTCATCTGGCTGCACTCCACCAAACTCGGCAACCTCTATTCATGCTACCACACTGTGCTTCATTCGTACCAGTTATCTGAAATGTGACATGACGTTGGCCAAAAGCCAAAGTTCAAATTTTCATCTTTCAGTGGTCTCGATGATTTATTTCTGCTTTTAGGTACAAATGCAATGGCTTGCTGAGCAGTTTTCGAAATGTGAAATTGAAACTTGAGCTCACCGACAACAATACAAATATACAATCAATAGGTAGTTGATTGAAACCAATTTGGGCCCTGTTCCTGTCCAGTTCTTTTCTTAAAGCTAAATGAAACAAATAGGATCCTTCCTAGACGAATTAGCCCAGAAAGGTCAATCGCTAGAGATGGATGATAGATACCCAATTGTATATGCACTAGGGCCGGCACAAGAGACCTAGAACCACAATCTGAGTGTCAACCACTCAACATTTTAACTTTGTATCTCTCGTCTCTGCATGGCTCCACAGACCACAATCTCCCCATACTTTGTCCCAAGGTTCAAAGTATCCAACCACCTGGCACGCACAAATGGAGTTTCGTTTATGTGCTCCAGTTGTTTTATTTTCTTGGAAAATTGTCTAAAACTCACCATGAATTTTCAACAATTCTCTTAAACTCACAACTTTTCAAAATGTCTAAAACTCGCCATATCAGTAAGTTTTTATTTTCCAAAACTCACCTTCCATTAGTGCACCATTAATGCTTTTTAACAGAGGTGTCCATGTCAGTATAAGTAAAAATTTTCATGACCAAATTACCCTTGAATGGTGAGTTAGAGGAAAAATGCCTTTTTCAGTTTTCAATTTTCTTTTTTTTTTTGCATTTTTAGTGTTTTGTTATAATTTCCAATGTTTTTATAATCTCTTTTTTTACATTTTTTTTTATTTTCTACAATTTATAAAATTTCCAGTATTTTTGTTATTTATTTACAATTTCTGTGTTTTTCTATAATTTTTGGTATTTTTCTACAATTTTTATTTTCTGATTTTGTTTTTCAATTTCTATAGTTTCTATAATTTGAAAATAATTTTTTATTTTGTTTGCAATTTTTATAATTTTTTATATATTTTTATAATTTCTATGTTTTTATAAATTTTATATTTGAAAATATTTTTTTTGAACTTTTTTCCTTTTTTTTATGTCTAAATATTGAAATGGTAATATATTAACACCGATTAATTTATTTTGTATATATTTTATATTATTCTATGAAGGCTAAAATGGCAATATATAAACACTGTTAGTCTTTTTAATGTCAATTTAGTCATATGGTGAGTTTTATACATTTTGAAAAGTTATGATGAGTTTAAGAGAAATACTGAAAACTCATGATGAGTTTTAGATAATTTCTCTTTTTTTTTTTTCTCAAAATTTTATAAGGGGCTGGTTTTGGCAATGCCTACACCCCTGAATTACAAAAACCCAAAACACCAATACACCCCGATATGTTTAGCTGGTTTCTGAATGTGGTTACTGGTAGTACGGCCTATACTCGTATCCCTTTGCGCTAGTGCTAGTGAGGAATTACATTTGGCTCGTAGGTAATCACCTTTTCACATCCACCTCATCGATCATTCAAAAATTTTGACAATAATAAAGGAGATGTGGATTCATCATCCACTTAAATAAAAGCGATTGTACCTACAATTTAAAAGGACAGTTTTTTTTTTTCCTTTCTTGTGAGAAGGATTGATCCTATGGAAATAAAACATGGAATATTCGTAGAAATTTCTTTATATTTGTTCTATTCCTGCCTATCATATTTTACGACAGGAAACATGATTCGGGGTTACAAGTTTACAATTTCTGCCTCCCCATTTCAGAAAGTATAACATGGACGCCTCGGCTATCTATCATCATATCCTTGGGTGCGATAAGCTTTTACGTACCTCGATTGAGGACTTCCCTTTCTAACATATTTGGGAAGGTTGTAATTGTTTGGATCTGCTTCGAAAAGACCCAACGTTACCCCAATAATAATAATAATTAGTGGAGGGGCTGGAATGGAATCGTTGACCTGTTGATTCGATCTCTGGTAAAAAATTGTTGAATCGATCAATGATCCATTGACCCGAGCAGTCAAATCATTGACTTGTTTAATGGTTTTTTGTCATTTATTTTTATTTTTTCTTTAATTTTTGTTGTCAAAACGAGCCATGTGTTCAAACCGAACAGTCGAACTGTCGACTTAAAAATTGGTGCCAGAACGATTCCGTTTTCAGGTCGTATGAGTCACACACTCGAATGACATAACACATATGGTATTGTTTAATGGACCTCACACATTCAATTTTTTGTTGTCAGAACGGGTTATCTGTTTTTTTTTTTTAATTAGAAACCATCCAAGCAACCAGTTCCATTTTATCCCAATCCCAGTCACTGGCCAAAAACCGTTGAATCGGTCAATGACCCATTGACCCGAGTAGTCAAACCGTCAACCCGTTGACCTGTTCAATGGTTTTTGGATTTTTTATTTTTTATTTATTTTTGTTGTCAGAATGGGTCGTCCATTTGACCAGATGGTCAAGCCATTAACCCAAAAACCGGTTGCTAGAACGGTTCTATTTTTGGGTTGTATGAGTCACACGCTCGAATGACATAACATCGTGGTTTTTAAAACCGACTCGGAGACTGAATTGATCAGGGGTCCGGTTATTGGGTTGAATGGTCCGATCGTTCGAATCAAACTTTCGACCTGTTTTGACAAAAAAATAAAAAAAATAAAAAAACGGTCGAAACCATTCAAATGATTCGATATTTAGTTATTAACAATATTTATAATAACTATTATATATTTATATAATTAGATAATTATATAAACAATATTTATAATTATTATATATTTATCTAACAATATTTATATAATTAATAGAAAATAGGTTGCTCTCACGTAGGAATCTATTCGCACAAGTAGATTCCATTTTTTGTACGGAGATAGCACCCCAATCCTATATATATATATATATAAAAGATACGGTAGGCTGCATGGAGCGTTTTCAAATAAGTATGCAATCACCCTTCTCTGGTAATTGTCTTGATGGAAAACACTAAAGTAATGCTTAGACTATGTTTGGTTTGAAAGAAACGGTGGGGAAAGTAAAGGAAAGGTAGGGATTCCCTTCCTTTCCTTACCGTTTTTCTTTTAAACCAAACACAGCCTTAAAGTTTTTAAAATCCAATCTTTGCCCAAGAAATTTATTGGGTGAATATTTATCAAATTACCCCAGAATGGTGATTCAATTTATTTAAGTGGGCTTTTATTATTATTTTTTATTTCACTGAGTGAACAACAAGCGCCAAGTTGGGATTGAACTTAAACCTCCCCTATTAGCAAAAAGTACTAAAGCAACCTAAGAGAGAGTCCATTACAATATAATTAATGAAAGGGTGCATTTGCATATTTATTTGAAATATGAAGCTAGGGAGGTTTAAGTATCAGCCAGAAAGAATGGGAGGTTTACGTAAAATTCTTAAATTCAGATGTAAAGTGGAATACTGGAATTCCATGATCTTTGGTCATTTGATAAACATATTTAGCAATGCCCAATTTTTTCTTTCTTTTTATGATATTAAGTGATAAAATAATTACATGATTTGCAATATAAATGCAAGATGAACCAACAATTTTGAGTTTTCAGTTGAGAAACGCCGACTGCCCCCAAGACAATCATCAACCTTATTAGCTTGAACGAGAAATGAATATTGTGGGTGGAGGGAGAAATGATGTGGAAGTATATACAACTTTCAGATTTTATTGAGAATATTAACTGAAAAAAAAAAAACATATATATATATATATATATATATATCTTTAGGTGTTCTTTTCAAGGGCTGAAGAGGAATGTTCAGATGGGGAAACTTCAGTGCTGCATATTGGGCAAACCTGCAAATTATACCAACTGGCTTATCAGAATGAAATCATAGATCAACCATGAATAGGAATTATATTTGTAATAGTTAAGTAGTTATTTACCCTTTTAATTTGAAGCCATTTGCTTATACAATCTGAATGGTAGGGGTGTTCACAAGGAAGGGCTACTAGTGATTCTCCTTCTTCATACTCAACCTGACAGATCACGCACCTGCCATTTCTAAGACTCAGAGAGATTGCCCATGGTTGGTTATGTTATCTATGTTATGTGAGAGTTAGGTACCGATCTCAACTTACCGGTCCAAACCATTTTTGCACTCACTCTGGCACTTGAATTCATAGGGATGCAAAAGTGCGGTGACTGCATCTGCTGGTAGTCCTTTATTCACTTTTCCAACAATCTCCCCCAGAGCAATCAGCTCCTGCAAATAACCTATCGGATGATTTCTTTCTGTAATTAGTAGTAAGTAATAGAAACGTAGCAAGACACCCTCATCATACCAACCTCATAAGACAAGTCGTCTGGATCGAGATCGTCTTCCTCCATATCCTACAGAGAAATTTCTTATATATAAGCTTCTCCATCATTCAAGATATCTAATATTTGGTGCAATTTTGATGTTGCCCTTTCATGAAGTACTGCAATTGCTGTAATGGCTCGTTGAGATGATTTAATACATTTGAAAAGCGAATCAGCCAATCAGTTTCTGATCATTATGGTAATTCTAGTAGCCCTTGTATGTATGATCCCCTCTTTGCTTACTGTTAATTCATTTGGTTGGCAATTTCAGACTATAAACCATTTTACAGTCTGGTGGGCACTAATTGGGTCATGGAGATGATATTGAATTAAAAAGAAAAGAAAAGATTTGAATAAGTACCTCATCTTCTTCATCCTGGAACTCCATTTCATCTGTAAATGCAAACATTTAGAAGAGTTACAACAATGCTTCTTTTCTAGTTTTAATCTCAAAGTGTATCATGTGCACCAACTTTTCTGAAAGTCATAAGGACTATTAGTTACTGGAGATTTTCCAATCCAAACTCATCTTATTTATTAAAAACGAATAAATTTATAGGCAAGTGATTCCCATATGTAAACTAAAATCAAAATTGAATTTGGACTGGTTCTCTAGCTGGTAAATTTTAACCCACTCCAGTCCCAGGTGATCCATTTCCACCTTTGCTTGTAAATGATGATAACTGTCTAATTTATGGCCAGAAGCCCAATAGATTTCTTCACTTAAAACAGATAGAGAACATTTATTCATTTCGGGTAGAAAAGAAAACCAGAAATATATCTTTTATTCTATAAGAAATATTGATATATTCTATTTAGGTGAAAAATAAACTTTTTCTAAAACCTTGATTAAAAGGACTCCAAAAAGGCAAAAACACCTTGACTAATTTGTGCTAAAGCCTAGAAGCAGACAGATGCAAATTACCATTGGCATCACCATCTTCCAATAAATCCATGTTGTCCCCACCATCTTCAACTCCTTCATCCCCTCCATCATTGTAATCCTCCTCTTCATCGGTTTCACTCAGTGTAAACATCAAAAATCCCCTATCCTGGCAACAGAAGAAATAATATCGAAATTATATCATCACTCAAATGACAATAATGGATTAATCCAAAATAAAGAAACAACAGAATTTGAGTGACAAAATAGAAAAAAAAAAAAAAAGTTGATGAGAAGACCTGTTCTTGCAGTGACATAGCAAGAGCCAAATCTGAGTCTTCTTGGTCGAGCTGGATGGATAGGACCCTCCTTGAAGCCTGTCTAGTCTCTTCATCATCCATGGAAAATGGATTCAATCTCTTCTGAAGGAAAAGGAAAAGAGAAACCCAGTTGGTGAAAGTATATGTGGAGACTCAGAATTCAGAAGATCTAAAGCTTGAGCTTTCCTGGGTAGAGAGCTAAAGCAACCTTTATGGGCTTTTATGCAAACGTTTCCCCCTAACGTATACAACTTATAATATATATAGGAATATATTCCAATTTGCAGTTTGAATACATGGTATACTTCTGCCTTGCTGTTGCCTAACGTGGAGGTAACCAACTGCTTGCCACTTGGCTTGTTGGGGGTGCCAATCACTTTATAGCAGTGTTTTAATAGTCGATCCGGAAATGAAACCGCTTTTCGGCCTGGGTGGTGGGTTGGTGCTTCAACCGTTTGAGACAATTGGACCAACCTGTGGCATCATAAATAAAGTAAAAAATAAATAAATGATAGAAAATTTTACAAAAAAAAAACAGAAAAATGGGTTTGTCTCTAACATCAAGTATTCATCATATTAAAATATAAATAAGTGTGGTGTGATAAATGAGAACTATCGTTATCAATAAAGGAAATATCCAAAAAATACAAAAAAAAATCTAACCCGTGACGTGACCTGCTGATTGGATCAAATGATTCAACGCATGGTTTTCAAAACCAGAATGGAAAACCCGGGAACTAGTCAGGTAATTGGTTCTATTTCACCCTAAAACCGCTTTTCGGCAAAAAACTGTTGATTTAATTGATCAGCGATCCGCTGACCCAAATGGTCGAACCATCGATCTGGACAACGATTTTTTGTCGTTTTTTATTTTTTCAAGTCAGAATGGGCCATCTGTTTGAACCAGATGGTTGGACTGTTCAACCCGGGAACTGGTCCCTAGAACAGTTCCCTGTCCAGTCCAGTTTTAAAAACCTTGATTCAACGATTCAACTGGTCCGGTTCACAGGTAAAATGGACCAAAGTAGTGTTTGTTTTTTACAAACGGTTCACGGGTGAAATGAACCCAAAGCATGGATGCAGATGAAGGATCAAGCGGTTCAACTGGCTGATTTAACCCTAATTTGAAAACATTGCTCTTATATACTTCACTAGAATCGAGCAGTTCTTTTGTGCTGATTAAAAAAAAAAAAAATGGATGCAGGGTAAGAGTTCGTAGCGCATGGCTAAAACAGAAAATCATAGCCAAGTCACTTCATCTAATTGAAGGTAAGACTATGGAAACAAATCAAAGGCTTTGATTCACTGTCGTAGCAAGTGTGGATTGGCAGGGATAATAGAAGCCTCAGACTGCAAATAGAATTTTATATGTAAATAGGAAGGAAAATGTTGTAGCTCATAGGCTGGCATGTCAATTAAGTTTGTAAAGGTGGTACTGAACGTCTATTCCAACTTCCCCTGGAAGGTCTTGATGTAAATATGTTTCTATCTACTTCAAAAATTAAAGAATGTTTTTATCTATAATATAAAGTCTTTCTTGTGCTTGCTGACCAAAAAAAAAATTGCATAGAGGAGACGGCTATATATGGGTGGCAATCTGTATGGTTTAATGGGGTTTGAGCTGGCTGTAGTTAGAAGGTACAATTCACAACCAAGCCAAATCAAGCCTTCACTCTCCAATTCTGAACTTTGAATGACCCTGGAAGGTGCCAACCAAACTTAGTTCTCTGTAGGCCCAAATGAACCAATTAACACACATTTATTTGGAAATTTGTTCTACGCCTCTACCACAGTAGATATCCTACGATTTCTTTGATAATAAATAAATGCATAAATACACACATATATATATGTATATATATAAATATAAATATATATATATATATATATACATACATATATGTATGTATATATGTATGTATGTATGTATGTATGGGCAAGATGATTTCGCTCATACTCATTTGAGCATAACTAGGCATAACTCACAATTGGGTTATGGTTGTGTTTGGCATTAGATGTTCCCACAATTTTTTTTTTCTTTTTTTCGTCCATAAAAATTCTTTTGATGTTTTTGTAGATCTTTTGTTGTGTTTTTTGGGAATTAGAACATACTCATTTGATATTGAGCAATGTTACTAATTACTTCTCTTAGCATCGTGATTCTCTTCTCGAATGATAGAGATCAAGCCCTCCAGCCTTCTATTTTATTTTTTATTTTTTCAACGTACTCCCTGAAAGTGGTTTTTCTAATTCTCTCACTTATGAGGGAACCTCCCAAGTATTTTTCATTTAAATTGCCTCTTGGGATCCTTATAATTGTGGCCAATAATTTTTACAGTTTATTTTGAATGTTTGGAAGCTGCCTTGATGCTTCTGCATATTTGTCCAAAATTTCTTTCACTTTTGTTGTGGCCTCAATGGAGCTTTTAAGAATATATGAGGCAGTCATCTACAAATTGGAGCATCAGGATATTTGGGGCATTTTTTGTTACTTTTACTTTAATATCTTACTTTTTTTCTTTCTCCCATGGCTTTTTCAAAATTCTTTGCTAGTGCTTCACTACAGGCACAAAGAATTAACTAACACTCTAGTCTCTCCTAGAGTGTCATTAGCTAACACTTGATAGCTTACGAGGTTATACATTCCATTACCCAATTGATCCAATTTTTGTTTAGTCTCATTTTACCAGAGATTTTTCTTAATAAAATCCCATTCTAGCCTATCATAGGCTTTTCCATATCGATTTTATATGCTATTAGCCCAGCTTTCCCTTTTCTTAGTTTTCATGGTATTTCCTTTTTTTTTTTTTTTGAAAGATAAGATAAATTTTATTAGGAACAACAAGCAAATAGTACAACGGTTCCCTACCCACACTGAGTTTGGCTAGGAAAGAAGATCAGATTACAGACTCCAAAGGAAATGGGATCTTAACAACTCAACACATTCAGGTTTATGAACTCAAAATTTATAGAGACATAAGGTATTAGTTTACTAACAACAGAACATAGTAGGTCCTCTAACTCTTCACCTTTTTATAAAAGATTCTATTGTTTCTTTTAGTCCAGATGGACCAAAGAACAGTTGCAAGAACAGACTTCCAGACAAGCAAGTCTTTGACTGAGTTCGTCATTACCCAATTGATTCCAACAACATTAAGAAAGTGTTCCCACACCTTGGGAGTGACAGAGTAGTGGCTACTCATATGATTTGTATGCCCTTAGCTTCAATCATTTTGATGTACTTTTGTTATTTAGTGGAAATAAATAAAGTGCATGTTTGATTCATGTTGTTTGGTTTAATTCTGTGTAAAACCCTAAAACTGGACATTT